ATGAGATGCGACCAGATTACTAGTATATGGCTAATATAGAAGGCTTCGCCAAGAGCATCGATGAAGCGCATTCAGTGAGGGCATCATGAAGATCAGTCTCGAGGCGATAGGAACCCAGATGCGGTCGATTACATTCATCCGACGTATGAATTCTGCCCTGAAGATGTCCGTTCTGAATCCCGTATACAATACCACATGCAGGCTAGTCCTGTCCGACGCGCATACATACCCATAAAGGATGACATTTATTTCTGCCCTGACGATGTCCGATTATAATCAAGGCTGAAATTTATTTCTGCCCTGACGATGTCCGATTATAATCCGTTATATACCGCCACATGCAGGCCAAACCTGCCTGCATTTTTCTGTTATTATTATTAGCGGGGGTTTTTCCTCCTGTAAAATTAATCCAATCCTCTTTAAATTTTGTGTGGAGTTTTTTTCACCTCTCACTAGTCATTTTTCGCAACAGACTACTAATTCAGACACTATGGATTGCATTTTGTACAGATTCTGCCTACCTCATATAAATTCTAGGTAATTTTATTTTAACTTGCTTTGATGAGCTCCCGACGGGTCTTTAATAATAAATTATTACTATTATTATTATTATTATTAAAAGCGTGTCACAAAATGGGAAAGGGAAATGTAAACAGGGGCCAAAAATGGAAGCACTTGCGAAGAGGGTGTGGATAATTCCAACCGCTGACCAACTGGATTCAACGAACGTCTAATCGTTTTTAACGCTGCCGGCGATGTTGTTGCCCATGGTGAGGTCAAATAAATTTACGTCTGGTCGACTGAATTTACCACACTGAATTTTACGCCTCTTTTGATATGGAGTGTGTCGAACTCCGAATAGAGCATTAGCCACAAAAGTAGTATTTATTTTTTTGACCGAGTGAAGACGGAAAGATGACGTTGTCATAACGCCTATCGGCTTTCTAAAAACCTCTTGTGAATAATTGTCACCTCTCATCCGCATCCCTGGCCGGAAACATAGCACACTGCTTAAGAAGTTCCTTCATTGTTATGTATAGAAGAGTGCCTCTGAATCTCGACTTTTGACGCTGTGAGGACGGTGTTCCATTAATTTTTATAGCGCATTGAAGTTGCCACCTTTCACTGCATTTGGTCGACGGAAAGATTTATGGTACGGCCCCAAAAACGGATTTCAACGGCTTCGTCTGCTCCTAGTCGTTTGTGAACAGTAAGTGCATCGAGCAAAGATGTGACGATGATCACTACAGCCAGTCATACGACTCGTATGCAGCAAATAAAGTTGGCTATCCTTCGTCACATCTCCAGGTCTGCCTTCGCACACATGATTATTTCGCTACTCTGATGGCCTTCCCTGTCCTCCTTGATTGTTTCGTATCCAAAAATGTTCTATCGCTATGACTGCTAATTTTTAACATCCGATTTCGGTTAGGGATTGCACGTCTCGAAATGTTTCATTAGGCTTAATTTTTAGTTAGCAAAGTTTGGGTTATTCGATTTGAACACTGGTACACAAGAATTCTGATTGCGGAACATCCACAACTTCAGGACGGTTCAGTTACGGCGTTAGTCTCATCAAATTGACTCTCATCTGACAGCACACCGAACATTACTACACGACGTAGTCTGTCCTTTTTGGCCACCGGTACCACAAGGAATCCACAGGTGCATTAGGAGTAATTTCTGTTCTGTTTCTGGCAGATTCCACAGTTAGGTCGTTTGCCTCTAAATGGTTTTTCCTCTGAAGATACGCAGGTCTCTTTTGCGATCTTCCAATCTCGTCTTTTAACATACTCATGTTTTGGATATTTGGCGGGAGAGTAGTCGCAGTGTAAAAATTTTGCCGCAGGAATTCTTCAAAATGACTTTACTGGGTGAAACCAAACAACTCAAACAGCTGTTCTTGCAACTTTATAGTCTAATTACTACCCTATTTTAAGTCAGCAATGCTTTATAAGTACTTGCTTCTTCGTCCGGCTGGCGTAGTTGGTCTGAAAATCATGAAAACGAATGAGGTTAGCCGAAGCATATTCCATAGGTCTGGTAGCACCTTACTCGAGCGAAAACTGAATAACTTAGTATCATTAATGTTTGCTGTGATATTCACGCTGCTGTCGTGAAGAATTATCCGCATGATAACCATAATCACTGCCGCATCCCACTCTTGGATTTAGATTCATACTTTCAGTTTTACCTATGGTAGGGGGCGCTCACCGATAGTCCTTACGGAACTCACTCGTTCCGTTGTGCCGTACGAGCTCTCTCTCGAGCCCAACCAGCAGCCGCACAACGGCGCATGATGGGACCCCGGCGGTCTTTAATAAAAATTATCTATCTATCTATATAGGCAGAATGGCATTACCGACAAAGACAAGGGAGATTTAAATGGCCATTTCTGGCTTATTAGCCGTCGTCAGCCAGCCATACCCAACCCCAAGGTGTGGAACACCCGAGGCCCGAACTCGCGACACTTCGGGGTTGGGTATGGCTGGCTGACGACGGCTAATAAGCCTGAAATGGCCACTCCAGTCTCCCTTGTCTTTGTCGGTAATGCCAGTTTTACCTATTTTTATTACCGTGGGATTTCTGATTTTCTTCTGCCTTATGTGCTTCATGGTGTCCTTGTGGTGGTTATCCACGGTTGACACTAAGAGTGAAGGGGAGGAGGAGGTTATGTAGGGCTTCGGTACAAGAGTGTACGCGTCGGTTCCATTTATGTTTCGTTTTCATAGTTTCGTCCGAGCGATCGGGGTTCTCGCTCTACCGCAAAGCCTGAAATGATTCTTGCCGTAAGGACTTCTATATGTTGTATGTTGAGGCTTCTATTTTGCTGTGTTGCAGAGTTGCAGGTCATCATTTTGTTTTATTTTGCCAGAGCAGTTGGCCCCTTTTTGTATTCGATGGAAGCGATGGGCGGTTGTTGCCCTATCTGCCTGTCACCGTTTCTACAGCCTGTTAAGACACCCTGTGGTCACGTCTTTTGCTACCTGTGTATAAAAGGCTCCGCATTCCACAAAAGGCGATGTCCACTATGTAGAGGACTTATAAACATGGACTTTTTCGAACATCCCACCATCATTGGTAATGATCCATGTAAGTAGTTTAATGAATTGTCTTTCTAAGGGAATTCTCAGTCGTAATGTCGCTTAGCATCCGTAAATTCATCTGTTGATCAAGAACTGCTTCTGACAGACAGACATTCTAGGTCAAACTGCGTTAAGGGCCTGCTAATTTCCTGTAAGCCAGACCTTGTTATAGACAGTTACTCCTTCACATTCAAAAGTGTAGATACACCCCCCCCCCCTATGAAAAACACTCCTTTGTATTATTGTTTTGGTTATCCCCCCTCAAACTAGACGGTTTGTGGGTGCACCGACGATTTATACATCTCCCGAGCTGGGACCTCCTTAAACAATCTCACTCATGACAATGTACGTGCTCAACTACAAGAGGCTTTTAGGAGAAAAAATTGACTTCGTTTACCCTGTTGAGAGCACATCTGCATTTTAACCCGGAACTCAAGCGGCATAGTTTGTCGTTTATGGCTCCACTTAACAGTTAAAATGCCAACCTTTGAAAAGTCTAGTTACTGCTTTATAATGCAGTATATGCTGTTGCCATATTTTTCGTTTTTACATAATTAGGTCTGACATAGGTAGAATCCTATATTGGTTTGACCGGTCTGCACTGACGACAGTTAAGCAGGTGTTTTCTTTTTTTTAAGAAAACCCAGCGGATTGACCGATAGCTATCAGAAAACGATTCACTAGTGTCGATCATAGATTTATGTGTCAGCGGCCTCTTTTAAGAATGCAACATTGACCGTCTGAGTGCCTTCCTTTGTTTGACGTCCTCCGTTTTTGACCGCTCTGCCACGCAGCCATAGGCGAAGGTAGACGAGGCTACGGACCATGCTGCCGGCCTTCAGTAGGAAAAATGTTGTGAGGACAAAATATTCGTGCGAGCATGACTTCAAGGCACTAGTACCATTTTATAGTGACATGTGGGCATTTTAAACCGTATATCTCTCAGTAAATACTTGTTATTTGAGGTGGTTGGTGGATAGGTCGCGACAAACTTCTTCCGAAATTGTTGACTGGGTTAGATTTGTTTGCGAGCGTACAAGTTTAGCTCCACATTGGCACGACTAATTTAAATGTACTCGTATTTGAGCCTAGTTTGTATTGCACCAGTTCCGAGCTGAACGTGAATGCACCCGCCAGATATTCCCACTGCAGCCAGTTGTTGAATTTCGCCATAGCTGTCAGCGAACGACGACCGTCTGTTTGTTTACTTTGCAGCAGCGTTAGATTTCGTCCACCGAGAGCTCCTAGGACGGGTAGTAATTAAAGGTGTCGGCAAAAACTGCCACCATGATCAGGGCCTTCTATCGCTCCAAACTGGGCGATTTTTAGACCTCAACGGATTGTCGACTGTTTGATATCTCGTTAGGCGTCCGACAAAATTGTATTCTGTCGCCCATTCTGTTCAGCGACCCCAGACTGGATTCCAGGAATGACCTTCCACGGAGTTTACGGTGGTCAGTTTGCATTCGGACGCCGGCTCACTGATTTCAGTATGTTGACAATATTGCCTTGCTAGTTCCAAGTGTTGGTGATCCACAGTCTGTGGTGTCACGAGCAAATGAAGTCGCTAAATCCGTCGGTTTGTCTACAAATGCTGAGAAGGCCAAAGTGTTTTCGGGTCGCATCCACGGCTAGGAGAAGGCACCCTTCGGAATTAGTGGGCGTCAACTTGGAGAAGTATATTGTTTCAAATACCTCGGAGCAAGAATGCTGTCGAATGGACAGAGCAGGGACGATATGGCCTGCCTGGTCGATGCTGCTCGCAGGGTTTTCGCAATTATTAGAAAGTGTATATGAACCACACGTTACGTCTCCATCGCCACGAAGATCGGCGTGTATTTTGCATCCCCCTTGTCAGTCTTTATACGGTTGTGAGTGCTGAGCTGTGAGTTTGGGAGCTGAACGAAAACTGCAGGTGTTTGGTCACCGCTGCCTGAGGGCTATGCTTCGCGTGAAGTAAACCGACTTCGCCTCAAATGAGACAATCCGCGCCCGCTGTGACCTCATGGAAATATCATGAGCCATCCGAGAAAGACGACTAAGGTGTTTTTGGCACGTTCGGGTTGTCGTTGTAAGGAAGATCAACTCAAAACCTAGCCCGGTACAATCTGGGGTCTTTGAAATCACCGTATTCGTCTGCGTTATTAGGTAAAAATGCAGGTCAAACATCTAGATCTGCCGCCACAGCTCATCATTTGAATAGAGGCCCAATTCGCGGCGTCATCGGGACCGGCTGCATCAGGCATAATCGCAGCCTTAGCAAGTGTATGTACTGATCTAACGATTTTCGACTATTCTCTGGTAAATTTCTGGTTGAATTTTATTATAAGTAGCGTCACATTTTCAAATTTATATGAATTAGAGTTTTAGGAAATGAGGCAATTACTGACTTGCTTGATTCAAGCGCATTTTATTGTTGTTAAATCCTTAAAATTGTGTGCCACGTATAATTAAAAAGATCTGCATTCTCATTCTTTGTGATCAGCAGTTTGCTTTAAACCATTGTCAAGCAGTCTTTTACGCTAAACAACGTTAAACAGTAGGGTAGAGATGTTTACAGTGTCCTAGCGAGCAGTAGTAAACCAGATTATTTGTGTCCGGGCGTTGTCGCATTTGACGCATTCGGGTAGTCGGGTGACTGACAGCGATATAATCCCCTTAACATGTGCAATTATCCGTTCGCGTTGCCTTCTCAAGTAGTTCACACACATTTGTTTTGACAGACATACCGGAGGACTATTGCACGGATACAGTCAGGCCGACTCTAAAAGGTTTATTTATTGGAGTGAAACGTAGGTATGTGTCCTTGGAAGTGATGGGTTATGGCATTGGTTACAAGGAGAGAATTCTGAACAGCAAACATCTGCGGTCTCACTTTCACAACCGTTACTGAATGATGGAAGCCTCGCATACAATGCATACAGCTAAGTCAACTGCAGTGTAATTTGCTGCATTGTCAACACGACAAGCCCACCTCTAACACTCAAAAACTCCAGCATCGCCACAACTACCAGATCAACAGCCACAGTCCCATCCTCTGTACTTACTGCTACTGCACATCTGAGTTGCACATCGGTCTGGGAAATCACTTCCAAACTCATCGCACTGAGACTAGCGAACCAGTTCCTCGACCCCCAATATACGCACGCCCCACTCGCCTCACTTACCTGCACTGCTTAAAGACATTCGGTCATCGCATGAGTGTTCAGCCATATACGCCCCAGTAAAACATCCCAGTCCAAATCCATCGCTGCTTTTCGCCGAAATTGCCCACGGACACATCCTTAGGTCACACATAAACCTCCCTCATACCACCCACACAGTTCTACCGCCGCATCCGACGATGTCCTGTATAACACCCACCACTCCCTGCAACATCACACCCATGTTCGACAGCAAACATACCATCCAAAATAACGGGCGAACATCGTATGTCATGTGGATAGTTCGACCGTCGTTGCCGACGGTTTCCACCGTGTGCTCCACGGTAAGGTGTAGCAGGAACGGTGAGTTGTGCATGACTTAGTTTATAGTGGTGGAAGGCTTGCACAGCATCTACCACACTCCCTTGTCCCCCACCCGGACCCGGTGTCAAGACAGAATCAAGAAGACCGGAGGGGGGGGCGTAGGTGAATGGCACGGTCAAGCCCGCACCTTGGCGCTCCACTCCGCACCCTCTGGTCTACACCGCAAATTACGGTGGTGCGGCCAAAGCCGCCGTCACACCTGGCTCGGATTCCACAGAGTGGTAGTGCCATAAAGGCCACATTAAGAAGGAGCCATTGCAACCCGACTGTTAGACCACAAGTCGGCCACTCCACGCAAACACACAACACTGGGCCGACTGCGAGATCCAAATTACCCCGTCAGTTAGCAACCTTCCAAGCCACGGCGCCTGGAACATCTCGATAACCTCAGTATCGTGTCACACATGCATCAGAAGAGCCGCATGGAGAAGGGGCCGAGGATCACACTTCGCACTTGCGTCGGAGGTGACAATTGGGTGCTTGCTATGGGTGATGGTGTTGCGTCGTGCGAGTGTTGGTGGGGGATGATATGATGGTGTGGTGTAACCGGCGGTTGTCTACCGCGGGTCTTCGTGGATGCCCATGTGTCCCAGTAGGTCCATGCGATGAGTGAATGTGCGGGGACAGTGTGGACAGTGGAGGCGGATGCGACGAGTGTATGTTGGTGCTGCAGGCACTGGTTTGCCAGTCTTTGTGTGACGGATTCTAAAGTGACCTACCAGGCCGTTGTACGAAGTGAATGTACGGGGGCAGTGTGGGCTGGAAAAGTCAGCGGTGTAAAGGTCGGTCTTGGTGATGATGTGGGACGGGGCGTGGGTTGGACTGGACGTAGTGAGTGTGCAGGATGCGTTAGGTGTTTCGAGGCTGCGGCGAATTCCACTCTCATGAATACGCATGTTACCTAGAGGGCCAATGCGGTGAGTGTATGTGCTGCGACACTGTTGACTGTGGAGACGGATGCGGCGAGTGCATGTGGGTGTTCCAGGAAGTGGTTCGCCAGTCTTTACGCGATGGTTTCGCAAGCGACCGACCAGGCCGATACGTGAGGCGAAGATGCGGTCGCACTTACGACAGGTATGGACCGAGTCCACATCGCTGGTTTTGGTGGTGATGAAGTTGATGTTTTTCGGTGTGTTAGGATTGTGTGCAGTGGTGGTCGATGCAGGAGCCGTCACAGCGGATGTTAAAGCGATGGAGGAAGATGGCAGGTGAGGGTTCAGGAGTGCGGTCCGTGCTGGTTGTCGGCGTGGGGGGTAAGGCAGAGGTGGACTGGCGGACCTCGGGTGGTGTCGTCCTAGTGCTTCAATTGGTACGAAGACGTCCAGCGAGACAATTTGGTGCCCGGAACGCCCGCTGACATCGTGGGCAGGTCGGCAGCGGCTGATTGTTGGTGTTGCGGGGCGGGCGCAGTTGAGATTTACGAGCTTTGTGTTTGGCTTTGGTGGCGGTTATGCGGTTGGCTTCGCAGATCCCTGCACCGGTCTTCACTGTTCGGCGACATCTTCATAGAAGAGTCGTTTGGGTAATTGCCCGTGGTCCGTGCGCTCCAGATGACTGCTCCTGCGCAGTTGCATTTGTCTCAGCATGACGTAAATGCCGAGGATTTCCGTCTGTTTCAGTACGTCCGTGTCCGGGATCCAGCCCTGCCACCTCAGCTCCAATATCCGTCGGAGACAGCGGAGGTGGAAGTGCTTGAGTCTCCACGCCTGCTTCTTGTTCACCGTCCAGGTCTCCACTCCACACATCAGGGTCGGCAGGATGACCGCTTTGCACATCATTAGTTTGGTGCAGATGCGGAGACCGTGTTGATTCCAAACTGTGTTTTACGGGCAACCGAAGACTTGGCCGGCCTTGGAAATCCGGCGGGCCACTTCGTCGTTGATTTTAGTGTTGAGAGAGAGGGTGCTGCCCAGTTAGGTTAAACTTTCCATGGCTTGCAGTTGGGTGCCGTTCACGTTGATTTGGGGTGGGATGTAGGCAGCGTGGGGTGGCAGTTGATGCATAACCATCGTCTTCTCCGTGTTGACGATTAGACGAAAGTTGTCACAGACGGCAGCGAAGAGAAGTTTATGGACGGAAGTTGCGGATACACGCGACTGGAAGTGCATCCGCCGCTGATTAAAGAGTTGGCCGTCCATCCTGTAGGCAATGCGGATCCCGGGACGTTCGTCACGATAAGCGTCCATCAGCATGACAGAGAACATGAGACTGAAGAGGGTAGGCGCAAGGACTCAGCCCTGCTTCACTCCGTCGATCACTTCGAATGCCTCGGAGATTACTCTATTGTCCGTGACGTCCGCCGTCATGCCATCATGGAGCTAACGCACTGTCTAACTGAATCGCTCGGAGACAGCCGAATTTCTGCATGATTTTCCACAGTCCTTAGCGACTCACCGTGTCGAAGACTTTCGTCAGAGCCATGAAGGTAAATTAGAGGTGGATCTTCATTTCCTGTCACTTCTGCGATTGACGGGTGTTAAAGATCATGCCTGTGGTCCAACGATGACGACGGAAGCCGCGTTGGCTTTCCGGCAGAAGACCCTGTTCCAACTGGTTGTTCGGACGGTTGAGAAGAATGCGAGCGAAGATCTTCCCGGCGATGTTCAGCATGAAGATGCCTCGGTGGTTTTCACAGAGCTGGCGATTACCTTTCCGCTTGTAGAGGTGGACGATTGTGGCGTCCTTGAAATCCTGCGGGACTTCTCTTTTTTGACGCCGTCTGAAAGAGCTCCGTCAGATGATCCGTGAGTTGGGGGCCTCCGTGTTTGTAGATCTCAGCAGGGATCGCGTCCGATCCGGGAGCTTCCTCACTGGAGAGCTGGTGCACGACCCTAATAGTTTCGCGGGCCTTGAAGTCACCAAGGACAATTAACTTGTCCGCCTTCGGCACAGTCGTCAGGCGGTCGTTGATGCCGTGCGGCATACAGGGCAGTTGTCCCACTATGTCGTTCCGGATGGCAAAGGCGAAGTCCGCATCGCGTCGCTCTACCTTGGGGTGACCTCTCCAGAAGGTTTAACCGGCACCCACCTACCCTAGTTGGACTTGTTCGGAAAACCGGGTCCCGCTGAGTGTCGCGATGTCCACTTTGTAACGCGCCAGTTCCCGAGCCACCAGCGTCGCCCTCCGTTCCGGTTAGTTGCTCCTCGCATTGTCTGAAAGGTAACGAACATTCTAGGCTGCCAGAGTGAGCAAACTCACCCTACTGGTCTGGCGAGTTGGACGGTGGCAGCGGCGGGAAAGAGGAGGAGAGTGTGTGTGTCGTTTCTTTTTTGACTGCATCGACCGTGTGTTTTAGGTCTGCGAGCCACGGTCAGCGTGCGGAAGACGTGAATCCCAACTTTTGTTTAGGGCACCATTTCTACCTCCTTCCCTAAATAGGGCTGCCCAGTTGTCCCAGACGGCTACAGAACTCCACTATGGACCACGTCTTTGTTTAGTGGGAGAACGATCCGAGTTAGCCTGGATCGCCCACGAGTCCGCTGTCGTTCACGCCGTATGATTTGAAGGGAGGGAAGGGGAGATGGTGGAATGGTAGAGAGACGGGAAGCAGAGATTCCCCGTCCCTCTCTAAGCTAACTTGTTTCTAAAATATAAACGGCGAACATGAAGCTTTAACAGAACGGCATTTAGCTTACAACGAGGAAAAACAAACAAGCAGACGAAGGCAAGCAGGTAAGAACAAGCAAAAAGCAAAGACAAAATAACAATATTCGGCTTACCTGGGGGAGTCGGTTACCTTGTGACCTACAGCGGGATTGCGGACGAAGCTTCATCTTGGAGGTGGCTTTGCAGTGGCCCATGGGACATTCGACCGTGGGGTAAGAAAGTAGAGTGGAATAGAGGGTAGAGAGAGCGATGGGCAAAGGAGAAGGACTGAGATTAGGTGTGAAAGAGAAGTGAAGGGGCGGTCTTCCTGCCACTGCGTCAGTATCTTGCTGAGGGCTTGTGACCTCCTGTGGGATTGCCGACGGAGCCTCATCTCAGGGAAGTCTAGGCGGTGATTCGTCCGGCCAGCGATGTTGTGAGCGAAGCCGAGTTACCGTGTGTGGATATGCACACACGCATATCCTCACCTGGTCTAGCCCGCCAGTCGAGGTGGTTACCGGGGTGTGGCCGCTAGGCAGAGCCTAGTTTCGGGGAGCCACATGTGAGAGTTGCGTGCCAGTTAATGGACGCTAGGCGCAGTCTACACCTGCAAGTAAGTGAGCGACCTATTACGACCATCATGTGGACCCATAACTGGACTCTCCTACACCCAGTCGTATGTCAAAACGTGCGCACCTCACGTAGGTAGGGAAGCATGTCATCTCGTGTATCCTGGTACAACTGCCGCGGGGACCAGGTCTTGTGGGATACGTTCAGACTGGCTGTTTAGCTTAATCAGCCATTGAGCCCAGTCACATCACCCGTTTGTTGACAGGTTCGGACAGCCGACTGGTTCACGGGAGAGGTACGAGATGGTGAGGCCAATACTAGAGAGTTGGTCCCAAAGCACATCAGCGCATTTCTCACTATTATAAGCCTGAGGCATTTAAATCCCTCATGAAACACTAAAAGTCATGGCTTGGTAGGCGGCTGCCAACTGACGAGATGACTCATTCCTCTTTGGAGTATTTTGGAGTACTGGCTCCTCTCCCATGGAACTGTCACAAATGTGAGGCCCGAGTCGCCCCTGTGAGGGCTTGGTGCACGCTGCGCGGCCTAGCGGGCAGAAGAACTGCTCAGCTCTTTCAGCCACTGCGCCCTCACTCACCTCCGATCGTATCGACTTGTCTTGCCATCGCAGCAGGAGGAGGGAGTGCGACAGGCGTGCAAGTCGACCTCACAATAAACCAATTGCAAGATATTGGGGCTGGGACCACTTTGTGGGGCACACAATGGACTTCATCGTCCGTGACGGTCAAACTGTAATGGTCATCTTGTCTGATATATTTCCTGTTTTGTCTTTGAATTCCGAATTGAATATCGCAGTCCGCGCCTAGAAATCCGAGGAAGGCTAAAACACAGTTGAGAAGGTTAAATAGAGTCACCCAGACGCCTTGCATACCGCTCCCTTCGTCGTAAATAAGCACGCCCAAAATAATCTTCCACTGCATCCGTCCCGCGACGCAGCCCGGCACCCATCAATTATTTGTGTACCAGTATCGCCAGTCCTAGTTGCGTTTGGGGTACTTGTTTATCCGCTGTCACTTGTGTCTTTACTTGATCGCTTCCATGAGGTCTCCTCTTCCCGGTCCAAGTGCTTGACCCAACCGAATTCGATCTAGACAAAAAGCCGTGAATGTGCGACTTGGACCTAGTGCGGCTGTAATCATGCCTCATGCCTAATCTAACCAGCCTCTGTAATGCTCCGCTTGTTGCCTCCATACCAGTCGTATCAGACAGCTGATTCGGTTAGCTGTACCTGGCAACCATCCACTGTCCAATCAATGGACACATTTCTGGCTCTACTTTGGTTGTGACAAACTCTTTACCGTGTCCGACCCTTTGATAGTCTGCGATTCTTAGACGAGATTAAATTACATTTACCTAACAAAGCCCATCTGCATTTTGTCCTGCTTTTGGTTCTGATTCTATCATCTGGAGTTCCTTTTATAAAAAAATGGGACATATCTCATTACTCGCACTTGGTATTACCCGATCGTGCACTCCATAATTAAGTAGATATTTTCCTGTCGAACAATATATCTGCACCTCGAAGTAGTGAATGCTTATGTCGTATCAATCCTTGAATCTTTGCCGACTTTGAGGTTGATGTTATCAGGCTTTTTAGTCAAAATTTTTCAGCACGCCTCTACTGTTATCTCAGTAGAGAAACAGAAAATTTTAATAAATCAAAAATAACTGTGACATTTTTCTCCACGGATAGAGCCCATGCTCACCTTTCCTCTCCGCCTCTATCCCAAGGCATTGAGCGTCCGAATTCTGACTTGGTGTGGTACTACGAAGGTCGTAATGGTTGGTGGCGGTACGACACCCGAACGGCTACCGAAATTGAGGCGGCCTTCACGCAGTCCTTGCAGTCTTGTGAAGTCTGCGTCGCCGGCCACATCTATGTTGTGGATTTCGCACAAATGTGTCAGGTATGCTTTTGTGAGAACCACGTTCGCGTTCCTATTTTAGTGAAATTTTTTTCCCTACTAGACTAGGCTGTAAATATCCCTTGTACACCGTTATCGCCGTCGCTGTCCCCACAGCGCTCTTAGCATGATCTACCTATTGATCCGCTTTCCTGTAGGCGCGTAAAGATCGACCTGGGCGCACTCGAAGAATCAAACGTGACAGTGCCGACCTGGAAATGAAAGGCGTCGCTGGCCTCCGGCTGTCTCTGCTCAAAAAGGCAGCTCAGGAGTCGTCGGTCTGCGACTCTTCTCCAGTTGATGTCGTCGGCGACTCCATTGCCTCATGTTCAGGTACATCCGTGCCAGACCATAATTCCTCGTCTGAACCAACGAGTGACGCGGTCCCCGCCTCCCTGGACCAACTGATGACTCCCCTGGTAAACGTTAGTTTGGGGGGCGATAGGGAAGACGTCTCGCCTGATCCTGCCTCCACTCACGATTCTGCTCCGTCGCCCACGCGTCTGCGGAGGTCGTTGCGCACCCGAGCTCGTCATCGTTCTGATTTACGCGATTGACTATCACCGCTATTCATTCCTCCACATGATCATTAACTGCTTATGTCAAATATTACTAGTACCTTTCCTCGTCCTTCACGTATTATTTTATTCTACCTCCCAACTCCTTACTTAATTTTTAAAGACGAATAAACACTGGTTGGCTGAAGAACATAATCTCGCCGCAACTTCTGTCTGTTTGTGGTTCCTTATTGGGGCGCATATACATGTATCTATGGATATAAGCGAAAATGCTGCTGGCTCTTACTTAGCACATCTGTTGCCCGTACGACAAGTCGTTCAGTATTTGTATTCTACTGGCTGTTTGTTGGCGTCTTGCGAATATTACGTTGTTATTCCGAAGTTGCTGCTATATTCCATCACCAGTCTCTACTCTGCCGACCGATTGTTTTATCAGCAATATGGCAGTAACGCATCTCGGGCTCGCATTAGTAAGGCGCGCTTGTCAGCACTAGCTACCGCGCGCATATGCATCTGACGCCGGTCTTTTGGTACGAAAATAGACAGGTTACGAGAGGTTTTTATCCATGAGGAGGGCGATCGGAACACCTGGGAAGAAGCATTTATTCTTTTAAACCCGGACGAGCTGGACGCATTGGAATACGGCCAGTAGTCGTCAGAGTTGCCTTCCGCCTGTTTAGTTATAGAAGGTGAGATCTCGATTGGCTACCGGCTGTGAAGGTTTATACAATGATGCGTAAGCACCAACAAACCTCTTTACTTGGCCACTTTCCGCATACTGATTGTTTCCATGACTTCCTCTCAGCATGTTAGCACTGTGTGCATATAAGGTGACGCTGGTCTCATCAGTCAGTCCAGGATACCAGTTCAAACTTCGTTAAAACCTGCCTTCCAGGTAATGATAAAAACTGATATCACATTGAAGATAGAGGGTCTCCTTGCATTTTTCTTAAAAGAGCAACCAAGAAATCGAACTCTTTCTAAGGACTAATGAACAGCCGCGGGATTTTTCAAAATACGATATGTCTGAACTTGCGGCTGGTCCTCACTAAGTACCACTATAAATCCATGTTGGTTCAGGCTCCGTTACTTTTGCTTGCAAACCTGGAGAATCTTGGGACTACAAGCGTCCGAGTTCGTGGATATACAAAAGCCTTTCTGCTTAACTGCTTCCATTTTCCGGCCTCCAGTGCTACGACTCCAAAAGCCGCTCCGAAAGGCTCATTGGCAGGCGCGATTTTATATTTTGCCCAAACAGATGGTGCAGTGCGGTCGGATGCAATATGCTGGACGAAAGTAATCAAGGGGTCCCTAGCGCACCATTGGCTGATTAACAAAGCCCTAAAGGGCGGAGCTTTGAGGCGTCAGCCAGTTAAAAAAGTGCAGTGAGGTAGAGCCAGAGAATATTGACGACAGAGTAGGAGACACCACCATAGAGCACGTCGAACATCGAGTAAATTTCGGGGTAAAAGTGGGAGGACTTGAATCGAAAGTACGTTCCATTGCTTCTCCGCTGTGTGTATAATAATCCCTTCATCCTTTTGTGCCGTCAAAAGGCACATCTTTATGCAACTGTTACTGGGTCCCATGCCGTGCCAAAAGACGTCAAGTGATGACTACTATCGTCTGAAAATCGTGTTTGCTAGGACCAGTCGGATAGTCTATATACAGTATATGGTAGGCACCTACAGTTGGTGACTTAACTCGTTAAATATGCCTAAATTGACGAGAAGTCACTAACCAATCTGAATCCAGTTCGAACGCATCCACCAAAACACCAAAATAGTGAAAGTGAAATGAAAACGTAAAAAAAGTGTAAAAAGTACCGTTCCGTTGATTGGACAGAACAATTTTTTGAGAAAAGCGTAAATGTCGTGTCAAATGACTATACCCAGATTGTAAAAGTACCTAAAGCTTGTAAGTCCAGGTAACTGACTAAATAAAACGCTATAAGCACAGTAACGTCTAAAAAATTATATTTTGCGTGCATTTCCATCAAATACCCCCCAAGAATTAGTCTTATATGAGGCCTGGCACAAAGTCAAGTGCGTAATGCCCGGTCATGTTTTAAGCCCTGGCTGCGCAAAATCGATGCAATTTTCCGTTTCGTATTGTTCGGAATGCGGTTGATTAAAGCAAAGGAAATTTAACTGATAGAGACTTCGTAGGAATATAAGTTTCCATAAAGTCACTTGGTGACAGGAAGGCCAATGGTTACTAAATTGGGATAGAATTCGCAGATGAAGTCGTAAGCATACCGTTTTTATGTATATTACGAGGACTTTTCCTCCGTCAAAGTTATGTACGGTTTTTGCTGACGGTGGATTCTATGTAGTTTTACTGTCCTTAGAATGTGCGTGAATACTTTACGCTTTTCACTGTTTTGTGGCACCCCGGAAGTTTCATTTCGGTATGTTTTCCAACTTATACTGTTACGACAGCGTGACAGCCGCCACAGCCAGGTGTCACTTACTAGCGAAAGAAGGTAGATACAAGTTGAGGAAAGATTTCCTGTAAAAAAGCCCTAGGTATTGAATCAATTAACGGTTCCCGGTCAACACGGCACACGGGCGCGTACGCCCTCTAAGCGAATCTGTCCTCGACTGAACGAAGGTTGTATGTACTTGATAGCGTGTCAGTGCGACCACTCTATCGATTACCTCGGCCTCGGTCGTGGTCAGTTGAGCTGGCTAGAGAAGCTGATCCGTCCATGCTGTGTTCCTCGGAGTGGTGGTCAGTTTTCCCAAGCCCTGGTTGGTAGGGCCGCCAGTCTCAGAGGAACAAACTGAGGTACAAATGCGGTCGGCAGCTATGCCGCTGTGGCCTTCAAAGTCTGCGTTTGGCGCTGATGAATGAAGGGAGCCAAAGTAACCCAGTGCACTCACAAGCAATTAAACGGATACCGGCTTGGATCGAAGGCCATGCTCAGTTCGGTTTCGGACGCTGAACTGACAGACCTGCCGCAGCGCATCTTGCTGACTACGAGCAACAACCACTGGCATTTGTCTCAACTCCCGGGGCGAGCTTGGTCGGGCCACAGTCGGCAGAATTTGCACAGCAAATCCTCCCATCGCAGAAGCTGTAACAGCTGCATTCCGAGCTATCTCGCTGTCAGTATCTGTCCATGCAAATTATTTGTGGTAAAGCTTTAGCCTAATGGAAACTCCGAAAATAAATAAATTTGTGGTAGCATGCTCAGAAGAGGCTTTGACAAGGGTCGGTTATGCTATCCTGATCCCAAGTGTAAGCGCAATGCAGGCATTGAAAGTAACGTAAGCCGAAAGGGAACGCTGAAATCGTTATTGGGGAAAGTAGCCGAGACTGAAATGGGAAAGGTAACCTGATGTGGGACAAATCTGCTGCGAGATTGAAGGTAGCCTTGAACTTCCGCAAAAGACCTGGCTGACAGAACGCGCAAGGCGGCAATACCCAAAACCTGACGGTAAACCTAGACGTAACCTAGAAAGTAAACCTAATCTTTAACGTAATTATAAACCTAACGCTAACCCGAAACTTAACATTACCCCCAACAATGAACCTACCACAAAATCTAGCTCTAACCCTGAGCTTAACCTTAACCGTGACCCAAATCCTAACCCTAGCCCTAACCCAACCCCTAACACTAACCTAACATTACCCTAACACTATAAGTAAACTTAAATCGTAATCCAAACCCTAACTCTAACCGGAATCCAAAAAACTTAACGCAAACCCTAACCCTTAACTCAATTCTCAGACTGACACCAACCCAAACCATAAAACGAACCCTACCTCTAAACCAAAACATTAGGTTGCTCTTTTCCGTTTTAACTTTGGCTACCTTCTCACTATCGGTCTCAGCATCCTTCTTTGGCTTACTTTACTTTTGTTGTCCACATTACGCTTACACTTGGGACCAGGCCAGCGTAACCGACCCCTACCGTGACTTCGAACTGATTAGACCCACCACCACTGCATGGTTAAGTCGGCAATCCTACCTACAGGAGTCCATCACCTGCCTTTATACTGCCCATGGTTGTTCTAGTAGTAGTATGGCATTAGCGCATCTCGGACTCTCATCAGTCACGTTCTCATGTCAACATTAGCTACCAGTGGCCTGTGCGCTCTCACTGTAAAGATAGTTCTTTTAACTTCTCTCTCTCTCTCTAACTTCAGATTTGGGAATGCACTACTGTGGTGAATTTGAGCCCTATCTGTCCCTACAGACTTGACGTATGACGTATTTCGCACAGTTAATGTCCATCATCCTCCGAAGGTCTGCCGGTAGAGCACCAGAACACATAGATAGCAGGTCTGTATTTCGAATCCGTCTGGTGGCAGATTATTCCCGGTTTGTGACTTTTCCGCTTTTTGATAATCCAATATTAAACTTGGTGAACGTCTGACGCCCTCTAACCTTGAACACGCGAGGAACGTGAACCGCTGTCTGTCTAGGGACGCAGAGTAAGATGTCTTCTCTACATGAACAGCTGTTCTGTTTTATGCACAGGACGCTACTAGCCTTCTTTCGGCGCAGAAAAAGCCACATAAGATGGACCTCGAGCATTCGATCAGTCTACTCCGCCTGTGTTGCCTATTACTATCAGAAATTGTACATCTGATTCCTAGGCCAGTAAGTAGTATCTGACTTCAGCTTCTGCCGACTTTTTTGGTTTATGGTGTTACTCTACTGAACAGGGACACCGCAAGTACTACACCTCCAGTCATTCCCAATTTTTGCCAGTATGCACAAGCGGGGTGTAGCAGAAGAGCACCCCATCGTTAAGAATTTCTCTATTAGTGTTTTGTTCCTGCCTTCATCGACTGCCCTCCACCCTTCTAACTTTTACGACGAAAGCTCTCTTCATATGACGTGATTCGTAATGTCGGCCCTTCGGTCTAGTGAGTGTACAAGGTCTCATCCTCTCTCCGTCACTCATATTTCCCTTCTCCCCGTGTTTTCCTCATCTCCCAAATTAACTGCAGACTTAGTACTGCTATTCCATGGTCGGTTTTGTGACAACTCCATAGTTAGGCTCACTGTCCACTAGGAGGCTGAG